GCGAATGATATGTATTGATAATATTGTAAACCCTGCTATGTGCTTAATTGTATGCTTGCATGAATGTAATTATATAATTGTGATTATATAAGCATGATGAAGTTATTGAATCCCAAATCTTGCAAAACCCTAATCACTTTTTTAATGATGAGGCCTTGGTATAAAAGAAGGCGTGATGAACTAAAATAATGAGATTGATGATGCCTTGGTAAGAAAGAAGGCTTGATGAATGGATAGAAGGAGATTAGGGGATCGGGTGTCACGAACCGACACATAGATTTAGGGGATCGGGTGTCACGAACTGGCATGTAGATTTAGGGGATCGGGTGTCACGAACCGACAAATAGATTTAGGGGATCGGGTGTCACGAACCGACACGTAGATTTAGGGGATCGGAGTGTCACGTACTGACACAAGAGGATTAATGAATATGAGGGAGCGGAGTGTCACGTACCGACACAAGAGAAATAAAGATAATGAATCTTGAAAGATTTTAATATACTCAATCTAATGAAACATAATTCCCAAATGAGTACGGTATTGAGGCTTGAGTCCTCATGTGTGAACTTGACGGTAATTGTTAATGATATAGTACTTGCTATTGCTACATGTTGAGTATCATAGTTGATTTTATGATGTTACTTGGTGCATATTGTTTTCTATTTTGAGTTGGCCGATGATATCTACTCAGTACCCGTGTTTTGTACTGACCCCTACTTTTATGTTTTCTTCTTATTTATTTGTGGAGTGCAGCAAACGTGCCGTCATCTTCGACTCAATAGTAACTCTAGCCAGTCTTCATTACTCCGGATATCAGGGTGAGCTAATGCTTCTAGCTTGGACTGGATCATCCTCTTCATGTCTCGATGCCTTGAAGTTTCGGCATGGACTAGCTTTTATGAATTTTTAGCTTCTTAGAAACTCTTAGATTTAGTAATTTGAAGTAGATGTTCTTCTGATGATGACTTCCAGATTTTGGGAAATAATAGTTATTGAATTGGTTTTTCTTAATGAGTTTAAGTCTTCCACATTACTTTATGTTGATATTACATTGAAATGTTAAGGTTTAGATTGGTTGGTTCCCTCACATAGGAGGGTAAGTGTGGGTGCCAATCGCGGCTCGGTTTGGGTCGTGACAAATAGTGATAAGTTATAGAAGGTTGTGAAAGAGGATAATTATTATGGAGCTCAACAAATGTACAAGTCTACTAGTGCCAGATAACATGGTCATCATTCAATTTAATTTGATTACGTGCTCATAATACTAATAATGTCTATATTTAATTTCAGATATGCATCGAGAGATACTCCGATGCCTTGAATGTTCTATAGTCTGGTGCTTGTTTACAATTAGACAAGGCCCAGTTAACGCTATGTTCTGTTTTTCTTTTTCTCTTGTATGGTAAATTCAGAGGCGAAGCTAGAATTACAGTATTATACGTTCTGAATTTTATATGGATGATAATAACTAAGTTCTAAACTTAATATTTGTATATATTTGATATTTTTTTTAATATAAATATACTATTGAGCAAAAGTTATTGGGAGCAAAAGTTATTGGGATTGGCGAACCTGTACCTGGTATTCTAGCTCTGCTTGGTCTACAATCACTAAAAGATAGAATATTGCAGATTTTCTCAATCTCTTTTAGTTATCAATCAAACAAACAAAAATAAAAATGGCTTATGCTGCCCTCTCTTCACTTATGTATACATTGAAGCAAATCTTCAAACATAATGAATTTTTGGTTTGTTAATGTTGTACACAACAACATGTCGGATCTCTCTGTCAAAATATTTCTGCTCTGCAACATTTCCTTGACAATACTACAAAGGATACTGAAACTCTTAAGGTATGTAATTGATCACTAGTATATTTATCTAAATCTTACTGGTGTTATATTTTTTTTATAACAATAATTAATATATCGAGTTTCTATTACAAGGTTGTGGAAAAGAGGACAAGGAATGTAGTATACAAAGCGGAATATAGAGTTGATTCAAGTCTAAGAAACATCCTTCTAGCATATCATGAGGATAACCAACAAAAGGCTTGTAGATCCTGTTATGAAGAATTGTTGAACGTTGAAGAACAAGTTTATTTTCTCAACAAAGAGGTGATGCTGATCGATGTTAACACGCATGAAAGCAACTCTGGAGAATTAGCGACAACTCCCTCCTCACAAGAAAAATATACAATTGAGGAAAGTATTTTGTCGGGATGGAGGATGACTTCAACACCATACTTGATCGCCTTATTTCCTATACAAACGAGTTAACTGTCATACCAACTTTTGAAATGGTCAGTATAGGTAAGAAAACTCTTGCCAGGAAACGTTATGATGATTCATCTATTCGTTCTTGATTTGATAAACATGCATGAGTCACTATCTATGAAGAATACAATGAGAGATAACTGAAGACAACAGAGAAATGAGTAATGATCAACTAATGGAGACTGTGTATAGAGGTCTTAAGGGTAGGAGATTTCTAATTGTCATATATGATATTTGGAGTATCGAGGCATGGGACCAAATGAGAAGAATATTTCCAAATGATGACAATAGAAACCGAATTCTATTAACCACTCGACTTAAATATGTTGCTAATTATGTCAGTTGTCCTGATTTTCCGCCTCATAGTATAGTCTTTCCTAAGTTTAAAAAATAGTTGGAATCTATTCACTGACAAATTATTATTTCTTTAAGCTACTGTTACTTGCCCCAATATTTGAGGTCTTGTTTTCTTTATGTTGGAGGCTTTCAAAAAGAAATGGAGATCAACATTTCCAAGTTGATTAATTAGGTTATGGATTGCTGAGCAATGCTTAAGAGAAAGAAGTAGTAAAAGGTTAGAAGTTATGGCAGAGGAGTATCTCGAAGAGTTAATTGATAGAAGTCTAATTTTGGTTGGTAAACAAAGGGCTGATGGAAAGATGAGAACTTGCGAAATTCACGATCTTGTTCGCCAACTACGCGTAAGAGAAGTTCATAGTGAAAATGTAGTGCATTTCATGAATGAGAATGTTCCCATGTACTTAGAAGTCATATGTGATCAATGGAGAGTGAATGTTATATCTAAACATCAACATCCGCGAGTTTAACCAAAAAGGCATAGAAGTGGTATTACAAGTATAACCCGCACCTTTATTACAACAGAAGATAATTATTTCTGAAGGCATAACATTAGTATTACAAGTTCCACCATTTCACAATTCAAGTTGCTTAAGGTGTTGGATGTACTATCAGTCTCAAAATATTTTGGTTGTGTAATACCTCAGCTTGTACATTTGAGATATGTTGCTGCAAATATTGAGAATGCTCTTTCACTAGCCAAATTGAGAAATCTAGAGACCATAATTATTGGAAGCCTTGAACCGGCGACTCTGAAGCACCCACTGGATATCTGGAGAATGATAGAGATAAGATATTTGGATCATATATGACACTATATATATGATCCTCTTGAATTAGAACAACCTTTGTTTCTCAAAAACTTGCAAACACTTCTTCTCCATGACTCTTCTTTTGTTTTCAAAATCATAAGAAGAACACCCAATCTAAAAAAAGCTTAGTATTTTAGATACTTCTGGCCATCCTTAATGGCATGATATTCTTTATTTTCTCATTCTTCTAGAGGAGCTGGAGACGCTACATATCGAGCTGGATTTTCTAAGGGCAGAGCTGAAACCATTGACCTGATGATTTTCTCTAGGGATAATTTCCCTCCTAATATCAAGATGTTGACATTAACATTTACTATATTACCATGGGATATTATGAATTTGTTGGCAAATTTAACGAACCTTGACGTGCTCAAAACGAATACTGCATTCAACGGAACTGATTGGAAACCAAAGATGTTGCGTTTCGTAAATTAATATATCTACAAATCAAATCTGAATGTCTAGTAAGGTGGGAAACAGGTAGTGATAATTTTCCAATGCGTGAGGAACTACTACTCTATGGGTTGGATGTATTGGAAGAGATTCCTGAGAGTATTGGAGATATACGACACTAATATTGATCATAATACACCGCTACAGAATGGAAAATGGCTCTGGTGTAGAGAATAATGCCAAAGAAGTTCAAGAAGAGCAAGAAAGCTTGGGAAATTATGAGCTTCAAGTTCAAGTTACTTAGGTATGTTAAAGTTTTCATCTTTGAGTATTATCAAAAATACATAAATTTCATATCTTGATTCATTAACGTTGAGTCATTATGGAACAAAGTGCTAATGTAGAATTCTTTCATTTGATTTTAATGCAGAAACTTGCGCTTCCAGATAGAATTTTTAATCTTTGATCCTAAAAGGTGTTCTTGAGAGTTTATTCTTGATTTTTTTACTTCTTATTCATAATAAGAGTTGTATTGGAGCTTGTGCTAGTTAGATTCCCAGAATGTTTGAACATTTTGGATACTTGATTTGCACAATGTGGTGAGAGCTTATGGATGACTCAATTATATGGGTATGCAAAATACAAGATTTTCAATCCTAGCAGGAATAAATTGAGAGGACCATCACTATTTTTATCTATGGATATAAAACTCCATAACAAATTTCTAGTTCTAGCAGCTAGAACTAGAATATTGATATATTACATGAAGGCATTTAAATTGTTCAAAGTGAGTGGTTGTGGACTCGTTCACAGCTAAACTAAATGACAGTTTAAGTGAGCCGTCAATATAATGTAAGTTGTTTGTCATAGGAAGTCCAGTATTTTGGAGCCAAAAGAGTCATTTTGAAGCTAAATTGCTAAAAGGGACAACAAATTTGGCAATTAACCAACTTAGACAAACCACTGGTTGGAAAACAGTGATGGCCTCCTTCTATATCCGTCTTTAAATGGTTGGAAACTTTATTGGGAGTCAAAACTAAGTGGTCTATTACTCCATTTGGTATTAGAAAAGAAAAGGTGTAACGTGACCTATAAATTACTCTCATTAGTATGTATAATATAATATATAACAAAGATATTGTACATCCAATTCTTAATTTCCAATGACAGGATTATCGTGGAAGAGAGGCACAACTCTTCATGAAGGTGGATTTGGAGCCATCTCGTTAGCTTCTACTTCAAATGCACTATTTTGTGGTGTTACTCTCCCCTCTCTCATTGCTCTCAAATCGTGCGACTTTAATGCTTCTCAATCGTTGAAAGAAGAAGTCGAAATCCTCCTAATGTTCAAACATTCTCCTTACATTGTTCACTATTTTGGATCTAATGTCTCTTTTGATGATAACGTCAATCTTTACAACTTATTGCTCGAGTATGCTTCTGGAGGAAGCCTTGCTGATCATCGTCAGAACTGCAATTCACTGTTGCAGTTTGAAGATAAGAAACACAGGAAGAATGTTCTTTTAGGGCTTAGTTGCATTCACAACAATGGAATTATTTACTGTGACATCAAGCCTGGCAATATTCTCCTTGTGGGCATGGACAAAATTGCCAAGATTGGTAATTTCGGGCTATCCGTGACATTGGAACAGGGCATGAACCAAAAACAAGAAGTAATCAGGGGAATAGAAAGGTATATGGCACTGAAATCCGTTATTAACACTGAGTATAGCCCACGGGTTAATATTTGGGTTCTTGGATGTACTGTCTATGAGCTGATTATGGGACATTGATATGGGAAGATGCAGATGGTGATTATGTGTCGGTAAGTATTAGTGGTACAAATTCATTTTATTAATTGATTTGATTGATATTTTTTTGTCAAAATTGAATCTTATTCTAACTTAAGATTCTTGTGGTTGTTGACTGTTGGTGAAATGAAAACGGAGGGTTTTTGCTGACTCTTTGACCTTAGAAATAGATGATGATTTTGGTAAGGTTAGTGGTACCGATCTTAATTTTTAGCCAATGTTGGAATCTCATTCTAATTTAATATTCTTGTGATTCTTGAGTTCAGGACTGCAGGTGAATCAGAAAAGGATGGTTTCTATCGACTTTTTGATATGAGAAATGAATGGCGATTCATTTTTCCGGCAATTTTGATAAGAATCAGTTGCACATATTTATTTTATTATTTGATTGATGGATATTTTGCACTTATCCTAAACATCAAACAAGATAAAAGATAAAAAAAGTTAGGAACAACGTGTACAAAAGAAAAATAAATAATACTATATGATTTCACAAGTCGATGTTTTTCAAAATTATTAGGGTTTTTTGGTAAATTGTAAACATCATTAACAAATAAAAGGACCATTACATCTATTGAGCACCTAAATCCATAACCACCTTATAAGAAGGTTTTATGTCTTTTAGCCTCCAACTAGAAAAGAAAATAGTTACATAGAAAAATATTGAATCAACCTATTACTTTTATGAGTCTTGTTAGATCCCCTAAACAATGCCATTCTCTCTATAAATTCTGTTTTTTATCTGTGCAATTACTATGTCACTATTCACAATTGTGCCTCTATACAACCTCCTGTTTATTTCCCTCAAAGTATGGTAAACTATAACACTCCAAATTGCTGCAACCACTTCTTATAGAATTGCCTCCAATGTTTCCTCTTGGTTATTTCTAGTACCTATCGCAACTCACCTATATGCACCTGTATGTTAGCCCAAGGTAAATACCAACTTTCACTTGTCCCAACCAAGTGTAGTGGATAAAGAGATTCAACTTGGTCTCCATCACTTGGCTGTGTCATAAACAACATATCTCATTATCAATAGGAATGTTCAAGCATAACATCCTCTTCTTGTAGTCGGTAACAAAATTCGGTAATAAGATCAACATGTTCAATTCACCCAGCATTGCATTGTAGCTGGCATAGATTCAATATTGACCATAATAAGTTAGATTATACCTCTCTTGTAAATACCAGTTCCTTTTGTTGTTCGGCAGTACATTTAACTTTTTTCAATAGAAACTGCAATCTAGAGGCCGAATATATATGTTCCCAAATGGAATCATCATTCCTTATATAGATCTCATGTACTCATTTCACCTACAACGTATTCTATTTTTCTGATAACTGGCATAACTGTTGGAATTTATGCGTCCACTTAACTTAAATAGGACTTGGTCCCCGTAACTCTAATGCACAGTAAGTAAAGAACACAAACAAAAAGTAAAAGAGATAATCACTTTTACTTGGAAACCTCCTTGCTCAAGGGAGTAAAACCACGACCTATTTTGAACAAAATTTTTCAAGAACCAATTTTACTAATCTTCAATCAAGTATCAGTAAAAGTCGGTAAGAAAATAAGAGACTAACCCTATAGTCTCTTTACTAAGCAATACACCCTATTACTTAGCTGAGCACAAGCAGATACAACACTGTTCAGTAAGAACCTAAGTTACCTGTAACCCAATCACTTACAATGAAAAACCCAAGGTTTGATAGGTTTCTACCAAGTTCGAAACGAATCCTATAACTTGATGCTTGAAATTATTTTCCGTTTTTGAATGAATGAGTTATATTTGTGTTTTGTTTGATATATATCGTCAAGATTTATTGTCCATCAAACAAAACAACCTAGTCGGTTTTTATTAGAGAAGTACTTTGCTCCTCACCAACCTCCCAGATGCAGACAACTTTTTACAGTTGTCTGTACTTTTTGCAGATAAGACTGGTTTTCTTCATACTCTGCAGAAGACCGGGTACATGCACTTGTGATGAATCATCAAAACATTTTGAGGAGAGCCTCATATCAATTTTCCCCTTTTTGATGAGGACAAACCAACCTGCATTTGTTCATCACACATTCATTCAAAAAATACATAAAACATTATTTCCGGACATCATTCCCCCTTAAACCATGATTCCCCCTTACACCAGGATTCCCCCTTACATAGATTCCCCCTTACACCAGGATTCCCATCACCGTTGAACGACTAATACAAATCTTCCCCCTTTTGACATCATTGAAAAGGAGGGACAATAAACATATGAAAATCAACACACGAGAATAAGAGAATCCAGGGTTATAACCACACCGAACATGTGAATGTAATAAAAAAGACATGATAATAATACGCAGAAATAGTGCATAAAAACAGAATTATGATTTGATCATATTAATATTGGCCACTTAAAATTAATCAAAAGACTACATCGAGCCACTTGAAGAGAAAGGAGTACAATTAGACTGGAAGACACAGCAGGAAACATTTAGCACGAAGGGAGAGAGGGATTAAGGGTTCAAAGAAGCAAAAACACTCTCTCATTGGCATCCTCAATTGCCTTAATGAGTTACTTGTTGAGAGCTTGAATTTCCTCACTAAGTAAGGCATTCGTAGCTTTTAGGTGGTCATTTGAGCTTTCAACTTGATTAATTCTTCCCTATTGTCCTGACTAGGACCAGGTCCTCTTGAAATCACCTTCTGAAGCTCAGACTTAAGAGTGACCACTTAAACTTCCTTAACAGCCAAGAGAATAGTGAGATCATCCACTTCCCGCTTAAGAAACACTTGTTGCTCAAGGACTGTTGCAACTTGTGAGCGACCTGGTGCTTCTCCTTCAATGCACTCACAATCTTAGAGAGTAGACTTGGAAAACATTTGTTTGACAGTACCTGGTACTCCCATCCCTAAGGGCACCTCAAAGTGATTGAACACCTAATTGAGAAAATACCCATATGGAATTCCATGATTCCCCTTCTTCCATGTCATAACACAATGCATATGCTAGACCCATGATTGCCTGGAGATTATCACTTCAAGATCACTTAATTTTTCCATCAGAAAGTGATCTGCAACAGACGTAACTGTATGTTTCTCCGACCTAGGCACCATGACCTTGTTAACAAACTCAAAGGTCAATTGATACTCGCCCTGAGGTACTTTTTGGGTACCCGTTCCTTCTTAGGTTTTGCTTTCATTGAGGTGAATACTGTCTAAGGCCTACACCCTACAATAGATCATATTCTATAGTAGGCACATCGAAGATAATCCCCAATATTTCCTCATTCAAACTTATCGATACCCTCTTAACAGAAGTAAAAATACTCCCTTCAACAAGCAAGTCCATTTTGTAATAGAACTCGTGAACCTCTAGTTCATGGAGATATGAGAGTGGAGGTTCGAACAAATGTCCCCATTCTTGGATAGTAACAGAGTCAACAAGAGCTCCCATACCATGATCTGTTAGAATATCTTTAGCAAACACTTGACTATTCAGAACATTTTGCAATTTCATCTTCTCAACTCTTTCTTCTCTTGTCATGTCAGTTCCATCAGACTTTACACTGGGACCAGGTCCCTTTACGAGTGAAACTTCAAATTTTCTCTTCTTCCGGGCTATCACCTTTTTTACCTTCTTCACTAGAGGTTTCTTTGAGTTCTTTTGACTCTCATTGAATCTCTCATTTTCACCCCTTGGCTCCCTTCTTCGCTTTGACACATACTTGGAAACTTCCTCAGATTTTGAGTCACTATTCTCAATGGGGACAAGGTATATAACTGGGTCCTCTTGAACCACCCCTCGAATTCTTTGCCGTCTTTTTCTGTGTCTGTACTGCATTGGCCAACATGGCACTACCCAGAACCTTTTGTGTGACACTTGGGGTGTCATATTGTTGTCTACCTTCCTTCATAGTAGATTTGATCGACTTCCCTTTCCCTTTTCTTTTCCTTTCTGCATCACTGTCAGCACGAGTATGAACAACATTATCATTGTTTCCCGCCGCAGTCTCTTGGTCAGGGCCACTGGCAAGAGAAAGATTACTACCTCTTGTTTCTTGCCTTTTCAATCTTAAAGGAACTTCTTCCTTGTCTTCCTCCCCCTTCATATTCCACATCAAACAACTAGGGAGTGTGGTCAAAGATTAGTTAACTTTTAGCGAGGACCGGTTTTGGGGACCTAAACGTCTTGTTCAACAGTGAGGGATAAGATTCAGCCCTAAGTGAAGCCAAACTTTGTATCGCTAGCGATCTGCCCCTACTGTGAGAATACAGGATTCTGGTCCCTTTTCCTAAGGTACATCCCCTTCGAACAACCTTTGCGACATCAAGGATAACACAACCATAGATGAACCATCTATTTCATCAGACCCTGGTTTGGAAGTAGGTTTAGGAACTGATTATGCCTCAAAAGTATGAGAATTTTCTTCAGACAACACTAGTGTAGGAGAACAAGGTACTTTGTCCATTCTAGGTGGAGCAGACCCACCTTCAACTAGATTCACAGGCAACACAGACCCAGCCTGTGTTCTATCTCCACACATGGGGTCAAAGATGACTCTTTTACAATGGGGATTTAGAAATCAAATAAACTGGGTTTTTTGATTTTTGGGGAGATAGGAACTTGTGACAAAGAATTAGACTTAGACATTTTGAGAAACAGAGAATAAGAAGTAAGATTGCAGAAAAAATCGATCAGAAAAAGAACGCTTAGAAGATTTTATGAATTGTTAAGGAGTTAATGGGGTATTTAAAACAAAAGAGTATTGGGTCCTCAAACAGTGCCGACTCTTTGTTTGAAATTGAAAGGACCTTTAAAACTGACGCGATGAACAAGACGAGGACATGTGCCATTGATGCAGACATTTGTCAGTGTAGTATGAAATAATACTAACCTTATGAGCGACTAGGTCCACTTCGTATTTTGTCTGCCCGATTTTGTGTAGTAAAATCATCTATTAAGCTATTTATACCATTAGTGTATACCTG